CCAAAATGTGGTGGCAAAATACCTGTATTTTTTTGGTTGCACAACTTTAGCCCAGTTTTCAAAGAGTACTCCCCGTGGAGATTCGTACCCTCACCACCCTTCAGACCTTCCGCGTAGCCCTTAAAACCTGGCTGTCCTGACAGGCCTGGGGCTAAAGACTTCAACCCCACCCGAATAGTATGACCACCCGAATAGTTGTGTTTTTAACGATGTATTGTCTTATGTGTATAACAGGTTTTGTACTTCCCCTCCCCTTGAATTGTGAGCCGTCCGGAGTCCCCCCAGGGAAAAGGGCGGCATACAAATAAAGTTAAATTTTTTTTTAAAAAAGTGGAGGAATGATAGCAATTTTGCTTCCTGGAAGAATGCTGCTTTCATTTACGTCATGGGTGTTCAACTAACTTTAAGACCTGTGGACTTCAACTCCCAGAATTCCCCAGTCAGTGTACATTGACTTCTCGGAATGTCACCCTATTACTGAATGGCTTCTTGCAGATCCCCATATCCAGCAGTTAGAGATGGATAGACAAAAAAAAAATGCTAGTAGCCTCTATTATAATAATTAGCATGTATTTTCTCTTTACATCTTTGCTTCTCCTTTCTCTCTTACAGTATCATTTATAGCTAAAAATTCAGTGACCAGGAGTTCTATAAATAAATCTTAAAAGTTGTAATTAATGGGGAGGGCAGGGAGAGGAAGTTTGAAGTCCAGAAATGGTCCCCGAGGTAATCCATGCCTAGGCGGTAGACAGGTGAGAAAGACCGTATTTAAACTCGAAGTAGAGAAGAAGAAAAAAAGTAAGGCAGAATCTGCTCACCTTTTGGGCTGTTGTTTCCTTTTGTATCTGACTTTGTCGTAATTTTTTCAGTAAGACAAGTTTGGCTTCTTCTAGCCGAAGTTCTTCCTTTAGCTGTTTAATCATTCGTTCCCGTTCCTCTGGGCTGCTTTTCTACAAGGACACATGTGATTGGAAAAAAAAGTTTTAATTTCTTTGAGTGAGGGGGGGGAGTCACATTAGAGGGGATGACAGAAGGGCTGACTTTAAAAGAGTGATTTCAAGATGGGGGAGGAGGGACAGAGCGGGAGAGGAGAGAGAGAGAGAAAGAGGGGAATGGGGAGAGGGAGAAAGAATGGGAGAGAAGAGAAAGAAAGAGGGAGGAAGAGGGATGGGGAAAGAGAGAGAGAGAGGGTGGGAGGGATGGGGAGGAGAGCAGGAGAGGAGAGAGAAAGAGGGAGGGAGAGGGATAGGAAGAAAGAACGGGAGAGGGAGAAGAGAAAGAGAGGGGGGTGAGGGACAGAGTGGGAGAGGAGAGAGAGAAAAAGGGGGATGGGGAGAGAGAGAGAAGAAAAGAAAGAGGAAGGGAGAGGGATGGGGAAAGGAGAGAGAGAGGGAGGGAGGGATGGGGAGGAGAGCAGGAGAGGAGAGAGAAAGGGAGGGAAAGAGAAAGGGGATGAGGGACAGAGCGAGAGAGGAGAGAGAGAAAAAGAGGGATGGGGAGAGAGAGGGATAGAATAGAAGGGAGGAGGGAGGGAGAGGAATGGGGAGAGGAGAGAGGGGGGGAGTGAGGGATGGGGAGAAGGAGAGCAGGAGAGGAGAAAGAAAGAGGGAGGGAGAGGGAGTGAAGGAAAGAGTGGGAGAGGAGAGAGAGAAAGAGAGGGATGGGGAGAGGAGAGAGAGAGGGAGGGATGGTGAGAAGGAGAGGAGAAAGAAGGAGGGAAGGAGAAGAGAGAGGGAGGGAGGAAGAGAAAGAGAGAGGGGGTGAGGGACAGAGCGGGAGAGGAGAGAGAAAGAGAGGGATGGGGAGAGAGAGAGGGAGAAAGAGCATGAGAGAAGAGAAAGAGGGAGGGAGAGGGATGGGGAGAGGAGAGACAGAGGGAGGGAGGGGGAAAGGGGGAGGAAGAGAGAGAGGGAGGGAGAGGAAATTGGGAGGGGGAGAGGGAGAGGGAGAAACCAATGTGACTTTGGCCAGCCTCCTCTAACCCAGGGTCCTACAGATATGTAAAAGGACAACTGTCAAAGTTCCCAGCCAGCAGTGACAGGATTGTCATCATCCCAGGAGGGTATAGAAGGCAGGGGAAGGATGACTTTAGTGCTGCAGGAGACATTCCAGGCAGGAGGGTCAAAAAGGGACAGGCGGATGGTTTATGTAAAGTGGCCCAGGCATAAAGAACAGCCAAAGCAGAGTCATGGTATGGGGAGTAGTGGGGGGATTCTGAACAGCTGGTGCACCTGAAAGGGATGAGAAATTCATGCCCTTCAACTGAAGGAATAGAATGAAGCAGGAGGTTGGATGAGGAGGGAAGAGAGCAAAGCCAGGGAGATAGGAAGCCAGCAGAGGAATCACAGTGGAGAAAACCCTCCTAGCAACAAAGCAGAGGACGCAATTAAGTTTTTGCCAATGGAGAGGGAGAAGTCGATGCATGCACTGCTGAACAAACGACACGGGGAAGATGGGAAGAGACCCCCAAGATGAACCTGTAATTTAGCAGGCNCCATAACAAAATTCTTTCTAGAAAGCCAAGGTCATCCTTTGTCTCTGCACCCGGCCGGAACTGGATGAGTGAAAGCTGCCAGCATGGCAATGGAAGATTGGACCATGTGGTGAAATTGTGGGTGTGGGGCAAGATCTTGAACTTTAAACTGGGTGGGAAAACTGGGAAGCTTTCAGATTCGGGTTTTCCCAGATGTGCCAACATGACTCTCTTCATAAATTGGAACATTAAGGAATATTTTGCCTTGGACTCTTTTGGATACTATTTGGAACCCTGGCAGACTGTGCTTTATGATCTTCCTGCAGCTTTGCTTTATGAAGGTGATATATGCAAGAATTGGCCACAGAGTTACTCTTTCATCACCATCGCAACTGTGAACGGTCACCCAACAAGGCAATTAACTAAACAAAGCCTACTTGTGCGGGGAAACTATCAAGCATAACAGAATTGGAAGGGACCTTGGGGGTCTTCTAGTCCAGCCCCCTGCTCAAGCAGGAGACCCTACCCCATTTCAGACCAATGACTGTCCAGTCTCTTCTTAAAAATCTCTAGTGTTGGAGCACCCACTGCTTCTGGAGGTATGCCATTCCACTGAAAAGACACCCAAACTCTGTCTTCTATGCAAGATTCCTGTTTCTCAACCTTGGTAAGCTTAAGATGCCTGGACTTCAACTCCCAAAATTACTGGCTGGAGAATTCTGGGCGTTGAAGTCCAATTTGCCAAGGATTTAGGATTCCAACAGTAAACACAACAAGTTATTTGACCCAACTCAGCCTCCCTTGCCCAGTATAACTCAGCCAGCAGCAACTCTCTGGGGTTTCAGTCTGAAAGGGATCTTTGCCAGCTAGGCAGAGATAAGCAGGATCTTGGGGGAGGGAAGGTGATGTGTGGGGGAAAAGGGGAAAAAAAGAGAAAAGAATAAAAGCCGCAACAATAACTCACCTGTGCTCCTCGGACTAGAGGTGGCATGACTATTTGTGCATTCTGCTGAGAGCCCAGCTTTGAAGATGTCTGCTGCCCACCCCGGATCAAAGGAGGAGGAATAACAGTTCCAGGAATACGTGAAGATGCGTTCTGTTTTGGGAGGGAGAGAGAGGGTGGGTTGAGGAGGACAGGGAGTAGAGAGGGAAAAAAATGGTTTTGCTTTGTAACTGCAGATTGTCAAAGATCCATCAAGAGCATTCTCTCCCTACTTCCCTACTTGAGATCATAAACCAACTTTTTAAAAAACAGCTTGGAGAGACAGTTTGGTGTAGTGCAGTGATGGCTAACCTCTTTGTTATCACGTGCCAAAAGCATGTGCTCACACCCATAATGCAATGCATGTGTGACACACACACCCCGGCTCCCCTTTGCATGCATGCACAACGCCCTCTGTGCTCCATGTTAGGAATATGATCTAACGGTTGGGTTGGCAATATATAAATCATGTAACAATGCTATTCCTGTTTCTTTAAATCATACTGTAAAATGTGATTGGTTGCTGTTTTCC